CCCCTAGTCCATAATCCTAAACCCTAAACCCATAATCCTCAAGCAGGCATCTTGATGATGATCTGAATAGCCTCGGGGTTCCAGTAGCGCCCATCTCCAGAGACCACCAAGGTCCCGCCTTGCACCGGCACATTCTCCTCAATGAGGGTGTTAAAAACCTGCGAAAAGCGGAGATTTAGGGTTTTGGGGGTTTAGGCGCGATGAGGGTGTTCATAACCTGAACAGCCCGGGAGCCCGGGGGGGGTCCGAGCGGCCGTGTCATCCCTCAGCCTAGAACCCAAAGACTTCGCCCGATCCCTGACCCACGTGTATGAGTGTGAGTGCATGCATGGATGGATGGATGGATGGGTGGGCTTGTAGTCTTAAGTTATCGTATTGTGTAATTATAGATCCGAAACTAAACCCTTTGAGCACCAAGCACAACAGGGCTTTAATTGTCGGGTGGTGGTATAAGAGATTCCGACATGACACAAATCCCATAAACGAAGCAAGTCATCTCATAGAACCCTCTTCCGATATCCCAGGGCCTCCAACCTCTAAAGCAGAAGCCAGAAAGTTGGAACATCATTCTCCTCATGCCCCTCAGGTCAAATAGAGGGAATCCCAGAACTAATCATCCTAAATCCATGTTCCACCTTTCCTTGATTCATTATATGATATGTGTACCTTAAAGAACACTTTGTGACTTGGTGGGGAAGTTCCCGCTGCGGCTTGTGCGTGTGACTTCTGGGGCTTTTCGATTGCTTTTTTCCACAGCAGCTCTGAACCGCTGAGATTGAATATTGCGTCGGAATCTCAATGCCCATGAGGGTAGCCTGTTCCCGACCATCTATGCAGGGTTAGCTGGGGGGACTCTATTTCTTTTTTTAATATCTATCTCCTTTTTTTAATAATCAGGGTTTTGAAGGAGCACCCAGCCAAGGAGCACTTTGCACGTAGTTCGCCAGGTAGTTGCCCTCCATGAAGACCTTCGTCTTCTTTCGCAATCCACTGGTTCCAGGTGCCTGGCTGCCATGTGGCTGGTTGTCAAAATTATGGTCCCCTTTTTGGGTACCCTAAATAATAAGTGCCGTACTATAATAAGGGCCCAAAAAAAGACCCTAATTTGGACAACCACCCATGTAGCTCCAACAGCCCAAGCTCGGCACCTAACCGTAGTGAGGATGTATTTGCATGAGATCTATACTACATTATACTACACAATGCAGTTGCTGAACACTTGATGCAATCAAGTCGAGGATGCATGGAAAACAACCTCCTGCCATCAGCGGTGCGACTTTTCCTGCTTTGTCTTATCGCTGTCAATAAGCAACCACACCAAAAGTATTCGAACTTCCACCTCATGACGTGGATGATCGTTCAGCTGTTTCTATGCCGGCTATCTCCACAGGTTCATGTCGTCCGCCTGTATGTGCAACAGACATGAGGAATCCACGACAGCGTGAAGTCAAACTGCATTTTGAGGGGTGCCTTGCTAGAGATTTAGGCATACGAGCGGCTCTGTATTGGTAAGCGTTACTCTCACTCGTGATTCAGAGAATCTACAAACCTCTCACCGGATGTCGATGATTGTCCCAGGCCTGCCCAGCAATGGGCTCGGTAGGAACTGTCTTTACAGATAGCGTCACGTCATTCTTGATGACCTTGGATTCTTGGCACATTGCTTAAGTTTGGGGTGCCCATGGTGAGCTATCCAAGCTAAAGCTGCGGGGATCTATCAGCATAGGCTGCTACGCTACTGGCTGCCTGAATACTGCTACGGTTGATGATATAAATCCTGCATGACCTTAAGGGCCCTAGACTATGGAATTTATGGTATATTCCTTATTATGGGTAATGCAGGATTTAGATCATCAACAGTAGTTCGCAGTTGTAACAGTTGTAACAGCCAAGAGGCGGGTCGGCCGTCGCCACCGCAAATGTTGCTGGCGACCTGCCCCATACCTCCTATGGCAGCCGGGAGTTGCATGAATAAACATGGGACTCAAGCCAAAACGTACGTATCTTGACGGGCTTATGCCACATAAACCCAAGCCATACTCTCAACCTCCAAGTACGTACCCCCCCACACGGCGCCAGAGAACCCGAGCCCTACGCCGAACAGCTGGAATCTAGACCCAGCCTATGAAATGCATATGTATTCGAAAACAGGGCTCGAATGGCCGCAGCAGCGCGGAACTATCGGTAGCCCCAGTGCCCATGGAAGGCACGCCTTCGCCTGGTGCCGCGCTTGCGAGGCGGCATGCAGATCTTTGACAAGACCCTGACAGGCAAGACGATTACGTTGGACGTTGAGGCCAGTGGCACGTTCGACAAATTCAAGGCGAAGTCGCAAATTAAGGCAGGCATCCCGCCCGACCAGCAGCACCTCTTCCGTACTCTTTCGGATTACAACCTGCAGAAGGAATCGACCCTTCACTTGGCGCCGCACTTGCGAGGCTGCATGCAGATCTTTGTCAAGATCCTGACGCTCACCTTGGACGTTGAGACCAGTGACAAGTTCAACGACGTCAAGGCTAAGTCCCAAGAGAAGGCAGGCATCCCGCCCGACCAGCGGCACATGATATTTGCTGGCAAGCAGTTTGAGGGCGGCCGTACTCTTTCGGATGACAACCTCCAGAAGGAATCGACCCCTGGCGGCATCCAGATCTTTGTCAAGACCCTGATGCTCACCTTGGATGTTGAGGGCGAGCAGCACCTGATCTTTGCTGGCAAGCAGTTTGAGGGCGGGCGTATTGTTTCGGATTGCAACCTGCAGATTGAATCGACCCCTGACTTGGCGCAGCACTTGCGAGGCGGCATGCAGATCTTTGTCAAGACCTTGAAGCTCGCCTTGGACGGTGAGGCCAGTGACAAGTTCGACAACGTCAAGGCTAAGTCCCAAGATAAGGCAGGCATCCCGCTCGACCAGCGGCACATGATATTTGCTGGCAAGCAGTTTGAGGGCGGCCGTACTCTTTCGGATGACAACCTCCAGAAGGAATCTACCCCTGGCGATGGTAAGTACGATCGTGACATGCGGCAATATGAGTTCAAGATTGAAGGCACTAACGTTGCTTATACGATAGGCGAGCGCCTTGACATCTGGCCCCGCAGCCCGGTAGACCAGGTCCTGGAGTTCTGCGGCATGTCGACGGGTTTGTTGGGCGCTTCGCTTTCGTTAGACTCGGACCTCACACGTGTTGGTGTGTATATACGCGGTCACTGTATGCAGCGGCACGTCTGAGAGGGCACAGTGATGTTTAATTTTCCATTGTGAGGGACCTACCCTGTAGTTGCCCTCCCCTGTTCCCTGGAGGAATACGCTCAGGGTTCAAGTGTTGGATGGGCACAGTTGCGTTTGAATGTCAGCTGTGTGGGGTGTACAGCTTGCAGTTTGCCTCACCCTACCCCCTTGAGGAATAGGCTCAGGCTGAAGTTCTGGTTTCGCCCTTGGTACTTGCATGTGCCTGGGCCCAGTGTCGCGATGGCCTTCTTTGGCAAAGCCTGATGGTCTGCAGGAGTGCTGCTTTAACTTTGATGTTGGCTCCGTCTTGTCTTGATTTTGCATGTGCTCGGGGATGGCTTTTCTGCCTTAGGCGCCAGTTAAATCCTCGAACATGTGATTCCCAGCCTTAGCGCATACTGGTACGTGTCCAGATTTCTGCGCGAGGATTTCCTAATTAGATGCAAGCCAAAGGGCCGCGTCGCTACGACTCTTCGCCCGAAACAGCAGAAACAGCAGTATTCGAAAACATTTACGTAAATGGTGCACTAGTATTTCCCCCTTACCTTATCATTAGCCCAAAGCTTACCTTTGGTTAGTAGGGAATGGAAGAATGGTAGTAACAGTAGTCAAGTTATAAGTTCTAAATACCCGAATCCTCCATTCCCTATACTAACCAAAGGTAACCTAGGATGCCCTGTAGTACCCTTATTCCCTTTTAGTAGTTCTAGGCTCCTTATTATAAAGTTACCCAATACCAAAAAGGGGGGCCCGGTCCTTGCTTGGAAGACCGGTGCTTCTCTCAGAGGCAGGCAGAGGCCGAGCCGAAGCGCTGGGAGGGCGCCGTGGGTGCACCAAAACGGCTCGAGCCCATCGTGGCCAAGGACATGAAGATGGGGTTTAGGGGGTTTAGGGGTTCAGGGTTTAGGGTGTAGCGGTTAGGGGTTTAGGGTTTCAGAGTTCAGGGTTCAGGTTTTTGAGGTTCGGGATTTTGGGTTCAGGGTTTTAGAGTGTAGGGTTTGGGGTTCCGGGGTTCAGGGTTTAGGGCTTCAGAGTTCAGGGGTTGGGGTTAAGGTTTTTAGGGTTCGGGGTTTTAGAGTTCAATGTTTGGGGCTTCGCGGTTCAGGGTTTAGGGTTTCGGGAGACTTGGGTCAGGGATGTCAGGAGTACAGTGTACATGGCTTCGGCAAGGATGTGTAGCTTACTGGGTTTCATCCGAAGAGTCATGTCTGCCCGGCTTGTCGACAAGCTCGGTATCATGAGTGCATTGAGTCGTCGACCGAACCTCTGTAGCCGCAGACTAAAGCAATTGAAGCCATCACATCAGCTACTAGGATGCCCGGTAACCTAAGAAAAAAGGGCTCCCCTTTTGTAACTTTACAAGGAAAATAGAAGTACAAAAAGGGAATAAGGGTACTACTGGGCATCCTAGGTTACCCCCTTTCCTTTTCCGAGCTCTCGTTTCTTTGCACCAGGGAAACGGGGCCCGGCCGGAAACCATGCCTTGACGGACTTGCCCTCGCAGTGCAACCCAGGGCACAGCCAGCGTGGCACCCACCTCCGCCTTCAAGCTCGTGCATCTCAAAGTAACAGTCGGGGTTCGACATCTGCCCAGCTGAATCTTCCGGCTGGCTGCACCATGTGTAGGAGTGAGTGACGGCGAGCCTCAGGTCCAGAATCAGACAGTGCGTGCCAGATAGTATCAGGCCGATCACAACAGAAGACAACCTGGTCTGCGTCTAGGATGGTGGAGTCGTCGCACCTGATATTGGAACAAAGCTCTCGATGACAATCATCATCCCCTGTGCTCAGCATCAGTGCAGGAGGAAATGTCCGCGACGGAGCAGTCGGTCTGATAGTCTTCGGCCTCTTTCATGGGGACGTACAGTGCGGGAGTCAGCCACAACCTTGCAACGTCAGACCAGGAAGCATGTCAACTGCACATCTAAGAATGAAACCCAACATTCAGATATGTCCAAGTCTCCCAACTCCACACCGGAGAGCTCAGAGGGCAATATTGAATACTACTTATGAACCCCGGAGCCCCAAAATCCCATTTCTATCCACTATACACCCCAAAACACAGGTTGAAAACTACACCTCTTCAACAAAAATCACGAGGCGGGTTCTTCCTCAATCCCAAACCCTCAACCCTTAAACTCTCTATGGACCCCACCAATAAAACCTGGAAAAACTCTATAAGCAAGTCCTTGCCCATCAAGCTCGCTATAGACCCTACCCAGCTACAACCTATAAAAACCCTTATAATCAAAGCCCAAAACCCTTGATAATCAAACCTGTAAAAATCCTTCTTAATTAAACCTTGTTAATCAAACCTATAAAAACCCTTGTGACTTATAATCAAGAACTCGAGTAGCAGGTCCTCCATATGCCGGAGCTCAGCGGCGAGCGCTCGAAAGCCTGCAGCGAAGGCCAGTGCAGATGGCGCATTGCGGTCCTTGGTGTTCTTGGGTTCTTAGGGTTTGGGGTTTAGGCTTTGGGCTTTTTTGGTCAGTCGCTGGCCCTTTGGGTTCTTAGGCTACAATTGAGTTTAGGGTTTTGGGCTTCTTTGGGTCAACATAATGGGGCTTAAGCTTAGGCATAGGAGTGATTGATTAGGGACTATTGGAGCCATGCACGTGTAGGAGCTCTAAAAGGTTGCGAGTCGCTGGCTTGTCCCTGTAGATCCTACTCCCCCTTAGAACCATAATCAACATAACATGTTAAATATTCTCTTGGGTTTTATGCAAAAAATGAATAGTACTTCCTAAAGGGCCTTAGGTAGATCCTAGACTCGCATACACCCTAAACCCAAAACCTCTAAACCATCTGGCAAAATGCGAACCTTTGCACTCCTCTTCCTTGCTATGGGTAATGCATTGGGTCTTGTCGGGTTTGGTGCAGCTGCCACATGAAGAACCTTCAATGAGAATCAGGGGTTGTCCATCAGATGCCTGCGGCTCTAAACCATGTAAACTTATAAAGTATATGCTAGAAAGTTGGAATATGATTATCCTAAACCCTTTATGGTATATTATAGGGTATCCTACCTGAAACCATATTCCAACTTTCTGGAGTGCCCTTTAAATTTCCCTTTAAATAGTTAAACAACCGTCTAGTTGCTCGATCGGGTGTGACGGCCGCTCTGGTCCGCAAACCGGCATCCAAGAGGAATCTCGCGGGCTTTGTTCGTAATAGGCTTTCTCTTCAGGGGAGTGGGGTGTAGAGGGGGTTTGAGGCTTCCGGGGTTCAAGGGTTAGGGGCTCCGGGCATTTAATTAAGGTTCAGGGTTTCGGTTTTCAGGGGTATGAACATTGCTTTCGTGGCTTCCCCTTTTGAGATGGCTTCCTAAACACCGGAAGGATAGGGATGGACATGAATATGCATGAGATCAGCAGCCATGAGATAATTCATGATTCGGACCTCAAAGGTCCCGATTTCCTTTCCCTGACACACGTCCACAAGATATCCAAACTTCCAAACCGGAACCCTTTGCAAATACCAAGAGCAGGGTCCGGATCTCAGCAGTCTGCACGTTACACAGCTGGCAACTTCTCCGCTCAGCTCCCATAACCTTAAAGCCTGAACCCCCCCCCCCACAGGATTGGATGCACTTCCAACCTCGCTGCCGGTACGGAGCCGAACTGTGCCGCCTGCATTTAGAGGACTCAGTGCCAGGAGCTCCCACCCCAAACCTTGAACCTGAAGTAAACCCTGAACCCTAAACCCAGACAGCAAAGTTGTGTTAGGGATGTCGGACTCTTTGGGTTCGAGAGGGCCAGATTCGAGCTCTGAGGCTTCGCATGTTTGTATAGCTGGGAGCTCTTCTTGGACTAGGACTTTGGGGGCTTATAATATGATGGTATGATAGGGTTATGTTCCATGATATATTCAAGCATATGGTGTAGTGTAGTTTCGTATAGTACAGCAGGGGAGAGTACAGTAAAGTATATAGTATGGATATACGGGGACTACCAAGGCGATGGTCCTATAGTCGGCTGCCCCCGGCCTTGTGCAGGGAGTTATGGCCATTGCAGTTGACGAGGCTCGCATCCACTCTGCTGTGTGTCAGGTACCTAGGCTCGGCAATCCTAGCGCCAATCAATATTTCAATAAGCTCCGACTGCAACTTCGTATCCAGAATCCAGATATCAGAAACCCAAAACAACACTACAACCCTAAACTCTAAACCCTAAGCCCACAACAACGCTGGACTGCTTTGCTCAAAGTGGCTCCAACATCTCCAGGGAGGAGCTCGCCCCATCCATCCTCGAAGCCTTGTGCATGGCGTTGCAGCCCCAGCCTTGGTTCTCTCTGTGACCTCTCCAGGATCCCTGATATAAAGCTTCGTAATTTGTGGCTTAAGGGTTAGGGTTTTTTTCCTCTCGCATGGGTGGCATCTATGTCCACAGGGTTAGGGTTTTAGGGTTTTTCCCTCTCGCAGGGTTTTAGGGTTTAAGGTTTAGGGTTTAAGGCCGTGGTTCTCTCCTTGGACTTTAGTGTTACAGGGTCTACGGGGGGTTAGGGTTTAAAGTTTGGGGTCTTACGGTTTCGGGTTTTGTGGATTTTTTCTTGGCGGGGGGGTTCCAATGGGGTCCATGAAGATCCCAGTGTTTGAGGGGCATCGCAACCCCAAGCTCCAGGGCCTGGAAATTGAACGTATCTTGTTTAGTTGTTCTTCTTTTCCTGGATGCCTGGGTTTGTCCTAGTATCCAAGGCCCCCCAAGCCCTTGCAAGCCGGTCCTTGGACCCTCAACCACAAACCCCAAAAAACCATAAAACAACCCTTGCGTTTGGGGGCTTGGACCCTTCCGGTATGCTGATTCCAGGCGGCTGTTCGTGTGATGCACATCCGCCCGTCGACTAACAAGGAGCGAGCAGCACGGGACATGGCCTGAGCCCCGAAACAGGTTTGGGCTCTGCAGATTTACAGATTTAGGAGTGTCAGATGTGTAAACGGTTCAGGACCAGGGTGTTTAGGCTTTAGGGCAATAAGCGGTTTAGGGATTATGCTGGTATATATATATATATATATATATATATATACAAGGCTTCTTTATTCCGGGAGTGGTGCGTGGAAAGAAAACGATCCAGAAGTGAGGGTTTCGGATGTGGGGTTCAGTAAGGTGCGGGACTGGGACCTAACACCCCACTGGTTTGTCGACTTATATTGGACGCTCCCACAATGAAGATTCATGGCTGGGCTGTCCACAAATAGAACCTCCTAGACCGTTCTGGACTTCTATTTCTAGACGCCATATCCAAACTAAACCCTGTAGATTCCTGTTAAGTCCTTACAGTGGAGACGAGATGCCCTGCCAGGCAGCTAGCATGAGGGGAGTGTCACCACCGTCCGTCGCAGCATCCACGAAATCATCGCCGGCCGCGTCCCTCAGGGGTCTCCCTACCCCTAACGACCAAACGAGATCCTAAACCCGGTATTAAACCCTTTACAGCCTAGACCCACTACACTTATAACCCTATAACTATCAATGCCATCTACCCCCTGCAAGCCTACAAGCCCACGCCTACCTGCTGCAGACAAGGTGCAGCAGCAATGCACACACTGCCGCGTGACCGTTCCTGAATCGCAACTCAAAGCACATCTGCCCGCACTTGATTGAAGCTTCCTCTCTCGATGGACAACGACATGAAACTCATTCTGCCGACATCCCAAAAGCAGCCGATATCCCATATAAACCCCATAAATTATAAAGAACCCCAATAAGGTAGGGATATCACTCTAAACAGCTTATGCTTCTGTCCCCAACTCCGAAATCTGCGCTGCGGCCGCTGCACCGTGCCGCCCAGTGGAGCGCTGTGCGACCGTGATGTTTTGAGGTGCGCATCCGAGGGTCCATCTTGAGCCTGCTTGTAGCTTAGGGTGTTTGCATTGTACGTGTAGTTCCTTTTTTTGGTTAACCAGTTTTAGGGCTAGGACCCTATAATAGAGATGTTGGTTAACCAATAAAAGGAACTACAATGGAGACTATACTGAATAACTCCTGGTATGCTTAAAACAAGTTTGGGGGATCTAGGGCCAAACTCACGGGCGCGGCGTGGTGCAGATGTTGGGTTCTGATGCATGTTGGGGGGTAATCTGGCGCACGGTCTGGGGTTGGGGTGTCTGGTCGAGTCCACCAAGGTGTAGGGACGGTGTGGGGGTTGGTGCGAAATTTGGCGGCGCACCCCACGCGCCCCGTGCAGGGCAGAGGGCAAAAACCCGGCCTTTGCGATGCTATAGCTTGCCCCCGCCCCACCTGCCCCGCCCACACCCCCACCCCACACCCCCGCAGTCGGAAGGCGTCGGAACCTGTCGAAAAAAAAGGAACCCGTCGGAACACCTGTCCCGGTTCGCCGCAGCCCTAATTAAGCATACTGAGAGGCGCGTTTATTGAGTTGTTAGGGTTTCCGACGGGTTCCCGACGGGTTCCGACCGGTTCCGACGGGTTCCGACGGGTTCCGACGGGTTCCGACAGGTTCCGACAGGTTCCGACGGTTTTGACAGGTTCCGACAAGTTCCGACGGCGTGGGCGGGGGTGGGGCGGGGCATGGGGCACAAGCACAGCACGCGGGGTGCAGGTGGCGGGGCGGGGGAGCCCAACGTCACGAGAAGAAGGGCGGCGGGGTGGGGTGGGGCGTGGTGGGCGGCGGACCACACACCCGCACCAGCTCCCGCACCAGCCCCCGCACCAACCCCTGCACCCACAACCCTGGGTGTTTTAAGCATACCAGGCCCCTTGCAAAGACTATAGGTAGGGTGTTTTGTTTAAGGGCTCCTTTTCGGTCTGCAGACTGCCTCTTGAAAGCCCATTTGGGCGCGGGTCCAGGATTCAGGTTGGAGTGTTTAGGGATACCCTAGAATCCCAGTCACCTAACTGAAGAGGCTGTTCCGGTACCTATAAATAATAAGTTATACTAACCGATACCCTTTTGCACACTTTACCTACCTAGAGCCCGCGGGGGTATTTCTGGAGAATAGGAGTAGGGGCGAGTTTAGGCTTCCCGGCTTCGAGGGCTTGCGGACGCACTTGTTGGGCGAACTATATAGAAAAAAAGTTGTGTACGTATATATATATATATATATATATATATATACATATGCATGTATATATAGCGAGGGAGGGAGGGAGAGAGAGAGAGAGAGAGAGAGAGAGAGAGAGAGAGAGAGAGGGAGAGAGAATCAGATTTGGGGTTCAGGTGAGGTTTGCCAGAAACTTACCCTCACTAACACCAACATTCAACCTCGAGTTCAGAATTGTCGTTCGCCGTCTTGGGTTTAGTTTTGCAGTTGCCGTAAGATGTCCAAGGCCGAAGGACCCACAAGGTGTTGCGTCTATTCGGGCCAGGCAGCTCATGCAGCAGGTACTCGCAGACCTTGGCAGGGAGTTAAATGCAGACTCTTGCTCTTCGGGTTTAAAGGGGGCTTGCGAATCCGACGCATGCAGAGGCTTGACTTCTAAGTCCCCCTTTTTCAATTTGTTACTATTAGGGTCGCATTTTTTCAGGGACAGAGGTTTGATAATCAGGGGTGTAACACTGTCAGTATCCGCTCAGAATCGTTGCCTCCCACCTGGGCTTTAGTTTGAGTTCATCGCTTGTTCCTTGCATTGAACAGCCAGGAGTCATCGACATGACCACCGCCGGCAGCCCAGTGAAGGGCACCATTCCCACGGTGATCTGTAGCCTGTCCATGCGGTCCAGGACTGTTATATGAGCAGTTGTCTAGATTAGGGTCTCGTTTAGGGTCCGTGTTATTAGGGCACTATCTTGGGGACCCAAGAATGGATCCGAATTTAGAACTATCCATGTGGCTTCAGGTTTAGGATCTTCTGGCTCCTGCATTGCCTCAAGGAGTCCGATAGGAGGGGGCCAGACACCTCCCGGGGCTCAGGACAGGGTCCTACAGGGGCCTCAATCACTGGTACTTGTATGGCCAGTAATGTTATGGTATGGTCCTGAATTGAACATATGAAGGTCGAACAGCAATTGTGCTGCTTCCGGTGAAACTACATACATATGTATGTATATATATATATAGAGAGAGAGAGAGAGAGAGAGATTTATAGATACATGTATGCATGTGTGTATGTATGTATGTACATGCATACATCCATCACTGAACTTGCTGTATCCATCGATTTCCGCAAATCGGGGCCTTCCCAGGGTGTGAGTCTTCAGCGATGCAGCTGGAAGAGAACATGCCAGGTCTTCTTAGGGAATCCAATTTTCTTGCTGGCCTTCGTGGCATCGCTACCAGCCTCAACGAGTGCCCGAAGCGCGACGAGGTCGCCCCTGCATGTGCGTTCGCGTTGGCTTTTTGGGGGGCAGGCTTTCCGATCCATAGTCAGAGTAATAGTGCTGGGTTTCAGGGACAGGAGATCAGCCCAAAACCCTAAAACCTTCTGGGTTTGTGTCGTCGGGAAGCCAAGGGTGCATGTCTGCTGCATAACAAAGCACGACCCCATGGTTTGTTTGGGCCCCGACCTCTGCGCTGCCTCGAGGCACGGATCGGGAGCGGGGGTCTTGGCCACACCTTGGCGAATAACGAAAGCTTTGGGTGTTATCGAGGGGCACTAAATGACTAGACTGCAGTACGGTTTCAATTTTTTATCTGGATAAGGAGCCACCCCAAACAAAAAAACTGTAATGGCAATAATTGCTCAGGCCGATGCATTGCAGCTGCTCTAGTAGGCAGGAGCAAGTCGAACGAGACAAGTACACCGATGATTAGATCCTGTGCCTCCTTTCCGGCGGTTCAAACCATCCATAGGCTGACGAAGCTTCCAGCGGGGCTCCCATCAGGCGCGCCGGCCGCGATGTCATCTTGGCAGGGGCGGAGATAGTATTCTGCTGCCTGGATGGGAGGTCAGAGGGGTGCAGGGAGGTGTGGACACTATAGGTAGCTCAGAAATTTGGTCATGAGCACAGAATCACCGGGCAACATGCATCCTGAGATTGCTTTCCGAGTTTGTTAAGGTGTGATGGTAGCTGACGGGAACTTCGCAACTGGCTGCTTAACTCTGGACTTGCTCTGAGGAAGTCCTCCACGCTGAAGCAGCGAGTATCCGTGGCATTCTGCACGTGGGTGCGCATCGGGTTGCCCTGAAGAGTGGCGCAAGTAGCAAGAAAGGTACGTGCGGCAAACTAGTCTCTCCCGGAGCTCCGGGCACTCCGTGCCATGGCTAGATGGCATTAGATAGAACATCATGAGGCGTGCACACCGACATCACCAGCCTCCCCGAAGAAGAAGCCGCAGCCCTTGCAGAGAACTTTGCCCTTGGTCGCTTGCGCTCGGATATGCTCGCAGGTGAAGAACCTGTGAACGGCGGGATGGAGGCGGGCGGGGGACAAGCAGGAGGCATCCTGAAAGCGACCTATACACCCACTTCATACCATCTTTTGTCAAGCAACCTGGGGGGGGTCTAGGGCTTAGGGTGGTTCGGGGTTTAGGACCCGAGGCCCGAAAGCTCCAAGTGTGGGTCACATCCGGCCTCAGCCCACCACCCTGCTCCACCATAATGTGGGCTAGTGACTCGGCATCCTGCGTTGAGGGCTGCTTGGCTCAAAGGGTGTAGGGCTCGTCAGTAAACTTCGATTCTGCCTTTTGAAACATGGGTGATTGGTTGGGTCTGCATTCTGCATCGCACCAGAGGCAGTGATAAAGGAAAACGATTCAGCAACACAAGCGTCGGCAGTCTTGTCGGTCAGCCATGCACCCCTCAAACTCGCTGGGCCTCCAGTTACCCAAGCAGTACCTTAACAACCAGATTTTATGTACCCCAACACCCCGTCATTTTGTGGTAACCGGAGCCTTATAAACCCCCCTGTCAGGCATCCTCCAATCGCCGGAGGATTGCCAAAGCCAGATCGAAGGGCTCCTGTCGCAGTTTAGGCGCTCATACTCAGACAATCAATTGAATCCCTAAAACCCATGTGGAACTTCTACGGTGAAGGTGGTATAGGAATAAGTACTGGCTGTAGGTTGCGTGTATGCCGGTCCTTCGCAACTTTCTGCAGCGTTGCAAGGTTTTTGGGAGTTTAGGCTTTCGGGCCTAGGATTTCGGCGTCAGCCTCGTTGAGCGGATCTCTCTGAAAGCACTCCGGCCTGGTGTGCCATTTCAGCTCCCCGTCCTTGCGCCTGCGAACTTTTTTGGGGTGCAATGCGGTGCCCGAGGGTCTCTAGTTACACAGCGTCACCAGGTTACGAAACGTTTGTGCTGACAGGGTACTGCGGCTTGTGGCTTTATCGGCTCCTGTGAGCCCCAAATAATCTCAAAACATTCTGGGACTATTCTCTTGCGACCGGAACCTCCACTCAGCAGCTGCACGTTCACAGCAAAAAGACATCGAATGGAAGGCAGGCACCAAGACTGCAACAAAGCTAAACATTTAAGCTAGATCGGGAAAGGTTGCTGGTGTGCACAAAGGGACTCGCACTCATGCGACACACCTCCAGGACCCAATCAGTCTTGAGATCTTATTCCAATAATTCAATAAATAGGAACCCTGAGAAAACGTTTCAGATTTATTCGGGCTTGTATGTTTGCCCCGGGCTGAAACGATGTAAAACCCTGCTAAGCTCTGTACAGCCTGCTTCCATGCTGCCACGGCCGCGTTGGAGGCAAAATCCGGCCCATCACCTACAGTTCCAGGCAGTTTAAGCGCTTCTTGAGGGGCTCTACAATATTGTGACGGGTTCGGGAGAGGGTTTACATCTTGGAGCAATAATAAAAACACGGTTAACCTCTGAGTTTGGGATTGGGGATGCGAGGGTTGAGGTTTAGAACTGTGGGTTCAGTGTTCAGCGCTTGAGGCGACGGGTCCACGCGTCATTGCCGCAACCACAGGATGCCCGAGAGCAATAACACTCCAGAAATCATTCGGGATGGAAGCCTTAGCTTAAGGAGCCCCAAAGCAAGAAAAAAAAACACCATGATGACGTTTTAAGACGGAGCCAAAAACAGCGGCTTTTGCCTTGGCACCCACAAACATCGTTGGTTTCAATGCAATGTTTCTGGGAGCTGGCACTGACGAAGCCTGAATCTGTCCAGCCTTCCTCCTGAACTCTTACTGGAGTGAGCCGACTGCCAGGAGTCCCATTATCGCACCTTGGTACCACCGGAAACAGATAGCCTCCAACCCTGCTTCACCCATTGGGGCTGTAAGATGTTGTAAGCAGAACCGGGTGAGAATATGAACTGGTTCTGTTCGCCTTACCCCGGTAAGCTTTAACCACTAGAACCCATACAAACCCCACAGCGCCCTTGTAAAACCATACGGGCGTTTCCGAAAATAGGGGACCCTAATATCGTACCCTAAATAGTAGGATCCTTTTAATACGGACCCCAAAACAAGGTACCCCTAATATTCGGAAACTCCCATATAAGCCCCGCTATACAATCAATCCTCTAAACAACCCCCTAAACTAAATCTCTAAACCCCTAAATCCACCAGACTTCAAACCCTAAACCCCTAAACCCCTAAACCCCCAAACCCTTAAACCCCTAAACCCTTAAACCCCTGAACCCTGAATCAAGGAGTTTTCCTTTGTACCCTTAGGGTTTGTACCCTTGGGTTTGGGTCCCTAAAACATCGAATATGGCCCTTAATGGTGGTATCCGGGACCCCAAACCTAGGGATACAAACGTTTAGGGTGAAAGTTAAAATCTTTGACTGAAACCCCTTAAACCCCTAAACCCTACAACTCGGCCTCTGAGGCGCCTCAGGGCGCCCGAGCGGCCGCGAGAAGCTGCAGGGAAGCCTCCGAATCTCAAGTCGAAGGGCTCGCAGGGCTTTCAGCAATCACTGTCGGGCAATCCAGGCGAGGTTCATCAGATACAACGGAAGCGCCTTGGCCAAGTGGGCCCACTAGACAACGAAAGCCAGAAAGCCAAGGCCCCTATAGGCAAACGAAATGCGAACCTGTCATCTCCACCAGCATGCACTCCGACACCCTGCGACCAGGAGCAGTCCTTACATTCGTGTCAGCACATAGGAATATGTAAATCACACAGCCGTAACTGACCCCGACGACAAAGTCACAGCCTGTCGCCCCTCAAAAGATGCAGGAAGCCGTGGCCCGGGTCACAGGGCTTTAATTAGTGCTTCAAGGCTTGCAGGGTGTTTAGCTAGTCTGAAGTCTCGACCCTTACCTCTAACCCGTAAACCAAAGATGCAAAGCGCTGTTTTTCTCCAGGCCTTCAGCTTCCAAAGCAGCTGTGAGCTGCGCTTGCAGCTCATCTTCCATAGGCTCCGCTTGGATTCTCCACTGTAGGCTGTTTGGGCTCTAGGCTTAGAGCTAGCCGGACTTAGGGTTAGAGGTCTCGGGGTTTCTGGTGTACAAGGTCGTACGGCACCAATTGCGGATGTTAGGGCATAGGCATAGGTCTGAACGGTTTTGGGGTTTAGGCTGGATTCCTAAGACGTTTGCCGGGGCTCCAAAAAAGAAAGGCTTACTGTAGGCAAGGCCGTGTTGCCGTGAACCTCTACGGCCAAAGCGGGCTTAGGGTCTGTGGGCAGTCATGGCTTCGGGTTGGTATGGAAAACACTCTGCACTTTACACGGTGGCCAAGTGAGACCCTGTCAAGAGATCCCAGGTACGCTGCGGAGTAAGTCATCTTGAACTACGGCTTTCGGTGTTGATCATGTTTTCGCCTACTGAATGCTGTCGGTCCATCATGGCGCTCAAAACCAGTTCTGAAAGGAAACTTCTTAGACCCTATATGATAAGAACCCTAAGGGGATCCACAGGAGTGAAGGACGGTCCTAGCTGAGTCTCAACCACGACTACCGCGGCTCCCCACACTCATGCCTCTCGCGCAGTGCATGTGCACAAAATGGGGGCATGATCTGAGCACTGCAGCTGGCAAGTTCATGCTGCACCGGCGGAGCTGAGAGCTGAGGCTAGCCTATAAGTCAGGATTTGTGGTGGAGGCGTGCCTATGAAAAGTAATATCATCATATTATCACACTATTGACAGCTGATATAAGAACAGACCTTACATTCCTGTGAGATCTGAAGTTCACACGTCGAACGTTGTTGCTGCGCGGAGGATCGGCTGGGGCCCTAAGACCGTTTGGTTCACGATTGTCGCTGATGAGGCTATAGATTGTCAGAGTCAACATCATCAGTGGAGCTGCACGCTCCGCGGGGCGTTCAACACTTGAGGAGTTGAGAATTCAGCCGAACTTAGCTTTGGCAGGCAAGATATATTCACGCATTTCAGACACTGCCCTGCATCAACTGCTTACTTTCACCTTAAGGGCAACACTTCCATCTTGCAATGCGCCTCGTCGCCCGTGATGGGATTGATGATCGTGCCATGCTCCATCTGGCAGCCGGTGTTGGAAGAAATGTTGGTACAGGGAACTCCAGAAAGTTGGAATATGGATTAATGGTAGGATCCCCTATATTTTACCTTAAAGGGATTATGATAATGATATTCCAACTTTCTGGCTTCTACTGTATGCATGCAACGAACCCAGAAAGCCGCGTTGCAAAACCAAATCCACACACAGCCCTACATCTGCGTAGGGTCTTTGGACAAAAAGCCCCTGAATCGTGAACCTCTGCAAAGCTCTGACAGGGAAGACTTCCCCGCAAGATGGTGAACAAATAGTACCTGCTTCAGCAGCCAACCGATGCTGCAAGGAAGGCAACCGGAGCTCTAACTGAAAGCTCCAAGCGGTAAATGAATTCCGCATCATTTGGTCTGCAAACTATGCCCTAAACCCTAAACCCCTAAACCCTAAGTGCGCAGGGCCTGAGCTCCCCCAAAAAAAGGTCTTTCCAAATAAGACCGGTGAACTGCTACTCTGTTGCGACAGCCGGGTCCGGAGGCCTTTGGGGGTAAGACCTGATCAACAAAAGCTCTCAGAGCCTCCGCTTGACGTCTGTACGGCAGTCGTAGAGCATCGATCCTCTCAAGACGTGGGAAAGCACGCTTTGAGTCTATAAGTTCTAGCTCGGGGTCTCGAGATGGTGCCCTTTCATGGACATAACTCTACATGTTTAGATGCTGTGTCTGTTGCACTCCACTTTAGATCCCCCAGAATTGAGTCTGCACAGCACAACCCAATCCGAAATTTGCCGTGTTCTCCTCCATGCCCCATGCCCCTTCCCCCTCAACCCGTGGCCTTAGGCTCGAAGACGATACTCCAACCCCTGCACGAATCTTAGCTTATGACGACTCTTTCCCTGAGGTCTTCGTGGAACCAGAATACATATCTATAGCACATTTCCCAAAAAAATCTCGAAACACACCCATCCAACTCAAGTTAAGATGAAGCCGGAGCGCAAGCCCACGCAAGGATTGCCACTCCGTTTACCGCCTCTCTCGCTCTCCATTCTTCTTGCAAAACTACAGGCGCGCACACACACAGATACGATATATATATATATATATGTATATTATGATATACTATGATATACACACACAGCGTTGTGATTCGGCGCCACGTCCTGAGGTTAATGGCATCCTGCGCAGGTGCCCCCATGGCTAGACCTCATGCAATCGGAATCTTCATCGTTGGGGATTCGGGGAGGGGGGGTTTTCGGAGCTGTGAGTATATGTTGTTCAGGGTTTTGGGCGCGTTGGATCATGGCTTATAGACGCATCTCCGAGGCTTTATGTAATTCTGTTTCTGCGCGGTTTGGATGTTCTGAGATGCAACTCTTACCTCACTCTCCGGTTACAACCGCCTTTTGGAACATCTTGTCCAGTATGGCGAACTGGACATAGCCAGGGCTAATAAGGTCCATGAACACTTATTTGCCCGATATCCTAAGGGAACCAAAGGTCATCCTTCGGGATTACACATAAATTCAAAGAAAACGTTAAAGGTTACATCCTCCAGTTCTACTATAAGAATAAGGCAAGTAGCCTCGCTGCAGGAGGCCCGGTGGCGAAATTGATAGCTGAGATGCTGCGGGGCGGACGTGCTCAAGCGTCATTCGTACAGTCCTGTCCAAACCTTGGAGAAATAGAAACGACGATGAGAGAACCACTACGAGTAACAAGAACGCGGGAACCACAGCGGGAGAGGAAGGATTTCGATGCCAATCGTACGGAACCGAGGCTCCGGGGATGAATCCATCATCATAGAAGAAGCCGAGCC